TCGCCTCCCCCGCGCATTTTGAAGAAGCCTGGAAAAAAGCAGCGCGCCTGCGCCCCCCAATATAATTAATAATTATAAACAGCACGCGGGGTGGGGTGGGGGGAGATTGGCTTCGACTTCCGACGACTCTTCCACAGGCTGGTCTCCTTCAAAGGGCATCTCTCCCCCCCCCCCGCTCCCCTAAGGCGCACCTCTGGCCGGAGAGTTAGAGCACCTCGTGCAGAACCTTTGCGAATGACCAACACTGTTCCCGGACGCCCAAAAGTTTTGTAGTCCCTACACTTTAAAAGTAGCCCCCACCACCACAAAAAAAACCCCGCAAAGCCAGAAAGGTCAAAAATTATTCCTTCAACTGATCTCTCAACCTTCAACACCGGGTTGGCTTGGCGGAGCGCGCGCGCTGAGCGAACCCGGGCGGGGATTGCGCGCGCGTGCGTGCGTGTCTGTAGGGAGGGATACAAAGCATGAGCTGAGGAGGGGGCTGGAGGGGAAGGGAGGTCGGGTCGTCCCCGTCAGTAGCGGCTTCTTGCCGGCGCGTTTCTGCCTATTCGCAGGCTTAGCGGCTCGGGAAGTTCCGTCTTGAGGAAGAAGTTCAGCAGGAACAGGCCGAAGCGGGAGAGCGACTACTTTATCCGGTGCCCTGCTAGCGAATCTCCCACTTTCCGCGCCAAGTTTCTGGAAGAGCGGAGTGCCGTGATGGATTATGCCGAGCATGCGCAGAAATGTTTCTGATGGGGGGGGGTGTTTTTTTAGATAAATATAACTTTGATTTAAAGGTAACCCGCATTCATCACACATTTGAAAAAGAAAAGAGTTTGAAATTGTGCCTTGACAATTAATTATTTTTAATATTAGAAAATTAATTAAGGGGCTCCCCTATTAGAAGTCACTAATATTAAAGAAAATATTCTGATATTAAAGAAAACCATGAATAAAATGGTTAGATTTGTCAAATGTTAATTTAATTAGCCTTAATTTACAGTTTTAAGCAATTACGACTTGAAAATATGATTTCAGCAAAAAAATACACTGAAAATTCTAAAAAAAGTAATGTGATTTGATTCTAAGACTGATAGGATTTGGCATGTGGCATTTATTTTTATCCCGCATTTATCTTTATAAATCATTCAAGGCAGTGCACATACCTAAAACTCATTCTTTCTCTTATTTTACCCACAACCCCGTGCATTGAGGTGGGCTGAGGAAGAGTGATATACATTATATATATAATGTATATATTTATCACACTTATATAGCTGCCTATCAAATGTGACTGCTCAAAACTACAAATATAAAAATATGAACACAACATACAACTATACTAAAACCACTGTTAAAAATTAAATAAAACATAAAACATATACTAAATTACAAATTTAAATATTCTGTAGGAAGTTAATACCCACCCCTCTACTAGAAGGTGAAATATCCTAGGCTATATTAAAAAGAAAGAATATTATATTTCCCTGGATAAGAAAAAGGAAAAACATGTTTTTAAAGACAAAGTAGTTCCTTGCAGCTTCCTCTCCCACCCCATTGTCAATGGGCCATTCTATATAACAAAGGTAGGATTAGTCTTCTACCCATCTTACCACATGGCACCTGGGAGGACTGCATCAACCAGTAAGGCAAACAGGCTTGGGTCTCAGGACAGCCTACAAAGTTAGCTAAGAACCCCCACCCCACCCCCTCTTGGGAATCTGACAGCCAATCAGAATACATTTCTTACACAGGAACAGGAAACTCTTAAGGTGGGGCTCAACAGAGGGCATAAAACCCAGGGACTCTCAGCATCTTGGCCCTTTTCTTCTTCACCCAACATCTTGAAGCATGTGATCACCTTTCTCCCCCCTCCCACCTCAAACCATGTGGTCTTGTCGACCATTAAACCATCTTTCCAAGCAGTCTCCATGTTTTCTGTGTCTTTTTCCCCACTTGGAACTGAACCCAGGAGGACATTTCTTCCAACAATTCCTAAATATATAGGTAGTCCTCGACATACATCAATTCATTTAACAATGATCCAACGTTACAACAGCCTCAGAAAAAGTGACTTACAACCTGTACTCACTCTTATAAGTATTGCACCACCCTCATGGTTAAAAGTAAAGGTTTCCTCTGTCCAGTCGTCTCTGTGTGCCAGTATTGTCTGAAGAAATTTCCATGGTCAGGGGGCCAGCATGACTATATGCTGAGGGGCATGAGATGCTGTTACTTTCCCACAGAAGCAGTGCCTGTTTATCTACTTGCATGTGCATGCTTTCAAATTGCTAGGTGGCAGGAGTTGGGCAAGTAATGGGAACTCATCCCATTGTGCAGCATTTGGGACTCGAACTGTCAGCTTTTTGCTGACACTCTCGTCGTCTTTAACAGGTGAGCCACTGTGCCCCTTTCACGCCTCATGGTTATGTGACATTTATGACTGGTTGCAGTGATGTGAAACCTTTTTTCATTTAGTGACCAACTGAAATAAAATCACATAATCAGGTCCAACTTGACCTCCACAACTTATGCAAAAATTCTAGCCCCCATTGTGGTTGTAAGTCAAGTTCTACATGTAAAGCACATACTAAAACAATATTGATGAGAAAAATCAGAATATAAAAATCCTAAAATATAAAATGTTTGTTTTATATATATCATTTTTCTAACAATGTAAATTTCATAATCCTTTATGAATATTTACACAATTATTCTAAATGCTAACAATCACACATATCTTTATAAAGCATTATAATTGTTATTTACTCAGACTTTTAGGAAGAGGCAGTATACAAATTCTAGAAAAGTGCTTGCTCCTGTTTCAGCTGTAGCCAAGGGTTTCTAGCCATGCTGGCTGGGGAACTCTGGAAGTTGAAATTAGAGTAAAAGAATAACAGTTGGAAGGGACCTTGGAGATGTTTTAGTCAAGCAGATCTTGTAGCTCATGCAGGAAACCCTACACCGTTTCAGATAAAGGATTGTCCAATCTCTTCTTTAAAATCTCCAGTGTTGGAGCACCTACAACGTCTAGAGGAAAGTCATTCCACTGTCAAGAAATTTCTGACAGAACAATCACTGGAACAAATTGCTTTCAGAAATCATTCCATTTTAAAATTGCTGAAGTTGAGAAACTGCTGCAGCGTCCCTCCCCCTTTCTTCCTTCTTCCATTGTCCACAGTTCTTTGACACAGGTATCTCACAGCCCATGGCTGAGATGAGAGATCAATCTCTGCCTTTCATTCTTACCAAGTTGTGAAAACCAATTAATCCTGATAAGGTATTGTTCAATAATACTGACTCAAAGCCACAAATATACATGTATAACACGGAAATTGGGATAGCTGAAGGATATAATGGTATGCAGGAATGAGCTTGTGAAGCATGCATACCAAACAATGGTCAGAGAAGAGGTAATTGTCTCCACAGAAGGAATAGGACCATGACAAACTAGGGACCTCCTCTAGTTTCTTATACTGTAAAAGTAAGTGGAGGGAGATGTACTTTTAGATTTCAGACTATATTCTGTTAATATAATTTTACAATAAAATAGAGCTAGTAGTTCTGGGTGTGCTGCTTGTCTGGACAACCTCACAAGGCTGACAATAGGAATAGAGTTATTTTTGGTCTCTCACATCTTTGTTTCCCACCCCTCACCAATACGTTACAGGAGCATAAAATCAGTCCATATGATTCAGAAGGTGCCTATGATCTGAGAGTAACTAAACTGTTGCCACTTGTTAGAAGCACAAGGTGATTGGAAAATGCCCAGCTTGTGGAACCACTACCTAGAGATGGGGGTCAGGTGTGACATAAACTCTGTGTCTTTGAAAGGACTGCGATGTTGCATATGGGGGTTCCCATCCTCAGATGAGTCATGGTGTTCCTCTTTATGAGCATTCAGCTTCTAGCATGTGATGTCATAGCCAGGTGTGAAATTTCCAAATATCTTTCTCCATATGTAGATATTTGCTCTGTTACTACTAAGCTACATGGAGTAATATAAGGGTTTGCTAGCAGAATAAGGGCCCCAAGGGAAATTGTCCTATATGCTGCAGGAAGTTCTCCTGGATTCATTTTTTACCCCTCCCTCATCCATTGCTGCCTGCCTAATGAGTCAGATGTGGTGTAGTATTGCCAGTATTCTTGTGGTGTAAAGACTCATGGGGTACTAGGAATTTCCTGGCTCCACTGTGCAAGGAACCATTAACTCCCAAACTGCCAACTTATAACACAGTAGTTTATGTGTTGCTGCCAAAGACATTAGTAACAAGAGTTGATGAGATTAACAGCTATCTATATCAGGTTTGTAATGGTAGGAACTGATTTAGACTGTAACTTCTGATGCAGCATATATTTTGTGGCTAGAAATCTAACTTGAAGTCCAACAATATTAAAAGTAGCCTCTCATGCTAACAAATTAAATGTCATGGTAGGCCTATGTAAGGTAATGCAAAATGAAATTGTGCAAATGTAGAATAGAACTGTTCTCTAATGAATTTCACAAAATTCACAGGCAGACAGGCAGGCTTCCTGCCTATTAAAAATTTGTTCCAGGCACAACCACTTCTTATTTACTATCTGATTGGATGATCAAAAGAAGCTAAAAACAATTCCCCAAGTCTTCATTTGCACAGCTAGATAGGCTTAAACTTGGCATAAACCTTTAGAGTTAAGATCAAACTGTACAATTAGCTATTCTCTAAAATCTGTGTATGTCTTCATGTCTATTAACACCATTGCGACTTTTACTGTCTGGGTAAATGTGAATAACTATATTGGCATTTACAATGTACTATATTTTAAACTGCTGCACAGTTACCTTTATTGTTTTATTGATTTGTTTTATAACAGGTAATTTTTCTGAATTGTTTTATTGAATATTGTTTATTGTACTTCTGTGCATTGCTTTGGGTCAGAAAGAAAGGCAGCATAAAAGTAAAACAACATTTTATGTAGCTCACAAAGCATTTTGCACAGATCGACTATTCTACTTGGTATTATGCCAAAAAGAGAGATTAGGGTTGTGTGAAAGCAAAATTCCACCACAATGATAATAGAAAAGATGTTACCATAAAGGGAATGTTTGATCATTTTATATATACCGTATTTTTTGGAGTATACAAAACCAAGGTTTTGAAGAGGCAAATTAAAAAAAAATAGGTAGGTAGATAGAGGGAGAGAGAGAAATACAGTAGGGAGGGAGGGAGAGTAGATAGGTAGATAGATAGATAGAGAAAGAGAGAGAAATACAGTAGGTAGGTAGGGAGAGTAGGTAGGTAGAGGGATAGAGAGAAATACAGTAGGTAGGTAAGGAGAGAGAGTAGGTAGGTAGGTAGGTGTTTCCAGGTGTATTTATCCATGTGCTGGAGAAGGAAATCGCTGACAACCTGCAGCACCTAAGATTTGTTTCTGCTGGCACAGCACTTGATCAATGTAATTCTCATCAATCACTCTAACTAAAGAGCTTTCGGAAAAGGAAAAAAAAGTTTTTGCACTCTGCAAACCTCCCCAAAATGGCCCGTTTTTCGCAAAAACAGACCTGTGTTTTTTTTCAAATAAAAGGCATGAATAGCCTTGGGGGGGATTGCAGAGTGCTCCTGGGGGGTAAGGGGGCAAAAAAGAGCAAAAAACAGCCAGTTTTTCGCAAAACGGGCCCATTTTTGTAAAAAAAATAATGCATGCATAGCCTTATGAATGCTTATAGAG